CCCACGGGCTCAGGCAATTCACTCACCTCAGCCTCCCAAAGGCACGGGATTGCAGGCTGAGCCACCGAGCCCGGCAAGTTGGAGTCTTTTACTCTGTTGCCCAGGCTGGAGTGCAGTAGCATGCTCACAACCACAACCACCACAGACTCGACTTGCTGGGCTCAGCTGATCCTTCCACCTTGGCCTTTCAAGTAGCTAGAACTACAGGCATGTACCATCCACCTGGCTAATTTTTTAATTTATTGTGGCGATGAGGTCCCACCAAGTTGCCCAGGCAGGTGAGGCTAATTTTTTGACTTATTGTAGAGATGAGGTCTTGCCAAGTTGCCCAGGCTGGCCTTGAACCCATGGGCTCAGGCAATCCTCTCATTTTGGCCTCCCAAAGTGCTGGGATTATAGGTGTGAGCCACCATGCCCAGCTGAGGTGCTTCATTTTAAGTAACTAAAAATCACCAGCTGAGAATAATCAAATCAATATGGACAAAGTAAGGAACATAAGGTTAAAAAGTCTTAATTCTGGCTGAGCATGTTCGCTCACCTGTAATTCCAGCACTTTAAAAGGCTGAGGCGAAGCTGAGCTCAGTGGCCGGGAGCATGCCACTGCACTCCAGTCTGGGTGACAGAGTAAGCGAAATTCCAACTCAAAAAATAAACAAACAGCCGGGCTTGGTGGCTCAGCCTATAATCCCATGCCTTTGGGAGGTAGGGGTGAGTGGATTGCCTGAGCAAGCGAGTTCGAGACCTGCCTGGGCAGCAAGACCTTATCTCTACAATAAATCAAAAAAATCAGCCGGGCATGGTAGCACATGCCTGTAATTCCGGCTACTTAGAAGGCTGAGGCGGAAGGATCGCCAGAGCCCAGCAGGTCGAGGCTGCGGTGGCCGGGAGTGGCCACTGCACTCCAGTCTGGGCGACAGAGTGAGACTCCAACTCAAAACAAACAAACAAACAAACAAAACAAAATAAAATAAAAGGCTGAGGCAGGAGGATCACTTGAGGCCAGGAGTTCAAGTCCAGCCGGGCAAGACAGCAAATACCATCTCCACCAAAAAAACAAACAAACAAAAAAATTTTATTAAAAGAAGAGGCTGGGCACAGTGGCTCAGCTTGTAATCCCAGCACTCTGGGAGGCCGTGGTGAGAGAACTGCCCGAGCTAGGGTGTTCGAAACCAGCCTGGGCAACTTGGTGAGAGAACTCGTCTCTACAATAAATCAAAAAATAAGCCGGGTGTGGTACCACATGCTTGTAGTTCCAGCTACTTGGAAGGCTGAGGGTGGAAGGATCCCCTAAGCCCAGCAGGTAGAGGCTGTGGTAGCTGAGTGTGCCACTGAATTCTGGTCTGGGAGACAGAGTGAGACTCTAACTTAAAAAAAAAAAGAAGAAGAAGAAAAAGTCTTAATTCTAAGTGAGAAACAATACTTATTTCTAATGAGGATAGTCTGTCTTATCCAATATTTAACAGTGTATTTTATTCATATATTTATGAAGAAAAAATATTGTGCAAACAAACTATTCCTAATCGAGAATTCACTGTAATTTTTTTGTTTTTCTTTTTTTAGAAAGCAGGATTTAATGAGAGGACAGAAAAACTCCCACAGTGGGAGGAGACCTAAAGGGGTTGCTTGTAATGTTTTTTGAAGTTTTATAAAGATATAACTCACACACATCAAAACTTACTATTAAGTAGAGGCTATTAAGTAGAGGTTTTTTTGGTATATTCAGAGTTGTACAACCATCCCCTATTACATTTAAAACATTATCACCCTGAAAAAAAATCTGAGATCCAAAAAAAAACCCTGCCAACTTCTAACGATGAGAGGAAAAAATAAGATAAAATCCAAGATCTACTAGCAATTACTTCTTATCTCTAGGCAAACACTAATCTACTTTTTTGTTTCTATGGATCTGTTTATTATAAACATTTCATATGAATGAGATCATTAAAACTGTGGTCTTTTGTGACATTTCATATGAATGAGATCATTAAAACTGTGGTCTTTTGTGACTCGTTTCCTTCATTTAGCATGTTTCCAAGGTTTATTCATGTTGTGTAGCATGTACTTCATTCTATTTTATGGCTGAATAATAATCAATTGTATGGATATCGCCACAACTGGTTATCCATTCATTGTTAATAGATATTTGGGTTGTTTCCACTTTTTAGTCATTATGAACAATGCTGTTATGATCATTTATGTACAAGTTTGTATTATCATTTCTCTTGGGTAAATACCAAGATGTATTAATTGCTGGTCATATCATAATTTCATGTTCAACATTTTGAGAAACCATCAAACTGTTTCCTCAAGTAATTTCACCATTTTATACTCCCACTAGCAACATATGAGGGTTTTCCCTTTTCCAAGTTCTCATCAACACTTATTACTATCTATCTCTTCTACCATATCCTTCTACATGGGTAATTTTCATTTTGTTTTTATTTACTAATCTACCAAACAGACAAACCTGATTGTGATCTGGATTTGCATTCCCCTGATGACTAATAATATTGAACATCTTTTTATGCTACTTGTATTTCTTTTTTGGAAAAATGTCTATTCAAATTCTTGGCCCTTTTTATAATGGGCTATTATCTTATCATTAAATTATAACAGTTATTTATTCTGGATACAAGTCCTCTATAACATGTATGATTTACAAATATTTTCTCCCACTTGCGGGTTTTCTTTTCAGTTTCTTCAAGGTATCTATCCCTTTGACACAAAAAAGTTTTTAACTTTTAAGAGATGAAGTTCACTACATTGCCCAGGCCTATTTACAGGTGCAATCACAGTGTACTACAGCTTTGACCTCCTGGCATTAAGGGATCATCCTGGTCCAGCCTCCTGAGTAGCTACTAGGATTATATGTGCTACTGTGTTGCTGGCTCAAAGTTTTTAATTTTGACAAAGCCCAATTTATCTATTTTTTTCTCCTGCTGGTCTTTTACTTTTACTGTCATATTTAATGTGACATGTGCTACTGTGTCTCTGGCTTAAAGTTTTTAATTTTGACAAAGCCCAATGTATCTATTTTTTTCTTCTGCTGCTCTTTTGCTTTTGTTGTCAAATCTAAAATACCACTGCTTAATTCATTTTTTCTAAGAGTTTTATAATATTAGTTCTTTTTTTTTTTTTTTAGAAGGCAGGATTTATTGAGAAGACAAACAGAAAATCTCCCACAGTGAGAGGGGACCCAAAGGGGTTGCCCAATATTAGTTCTTATATTTAGGTATCTGACTGATTCTGAGTTAATTTTTGCAGTTAACTCAATGGTGTAAAAAAAGGGTCCAACCTCATTCTTTTGCATGGGAATAATCAGTCATCCCAGCACTACATGTTGAAAAGACTACTTTTTCTCCATTGAACTGTTTTATTTTAGTACCCTTGTTGGAATTCAATTGTCTATTAATGTGAGGGTTTATTTCTGGAGAGATCCCATCTTTACAAAAAATTTTAAAATTTGCCAGGCATGGTGGCGTATGCCTGTAGTCCCTGTTACTCAAGTGGCTGAGCCAAAAGGACTGCCTGGATCCAGGTCAAGGCTACAGTTAAGTTGCAATGATGCCACTGTATTCTGGCCTAGGCAACAGAGTGAGACCCTGACTCAAAAAACAAACAAGCAAAAGTTCTTTGCCTGACTCCACTTAAGGAAACCAGCAGCTGAAAGAACATTTAAAATATAGCCAGTAATTGATGTCTTTTCTCCTATACCCTATAGTACTACTGGAGTCAATGTCAAGGTATAGCTACAGGATAGCCAATTCTAGCCCAATAAACAGCTCTTACTTACTGATGAGAAAAATATGCTCAGAAAGGATAAGTGACTTGCTCAAAAGTCTATCAACAACGAAGAATAGAGTTTAGGCTGTAATCTAGGTCTCAGTCATTCAAATACTTTGCTCTTTTCTCTTTATTAAAAGCCCTCAACTCTTAAGAACTGCATTGAGATAGAACTTGATAGTGTGATGTCATTAGAAGCCTGCCTCATTACTTAATCCTACAAATAAGACTTGGAGTTTAAAAAAGGGTCTGTTTCTTTACCATGGTGTTGGTGCTTGGCTGACCCAAGGTGCTGGTATTACCAAAGGAAAAGCCAGTGTTTTGGGTGGTTGTGGCCTGGCCAAAGGGTTTGCTGAAGAGGCTGGTAGTCTGTTGATTCTGTTGGCCAAAGAGACCACCTGGATTTGTTCCAAAACCAGTTGTACCTTTTAGGAAAGGAAAAAAAGACAAAACAAATTTTTAAAAATCTAAACACAAAAAAAGAGAATCCTCACATGATTCAGTTACCACAAAATCCTTACATTATCTATTAAATACCAACCTAAATCACCCTCCTTTCTTTTACTACACAATAACCATTTCATTATCCATCCTTCAACTGACTCCAGACTCAGTGAAACCTTTAATTTCTACAATAACACCCTGACCCCAAGAAGCTTGGCTGAGCTAAATGTTCTTCCTTTGTGAGCCCATAGCTTCCCTATGTTTTACAAGACAACACACTCAAAGTCTGCATGTGAATTTTAACCTTGTCAGTCTAAGTTACTGGGAACAGAGGCCTTCTCCTTACAGCAATATATTCAGCTTAGGGTCTGATAGATAGTACTCAATAATGAATATGTGCTAAACTAAATCACAAAATGCCAAAACTGAAAAGAATGTTAAATGTCACTTAGATAATACATTTATGTATTTGTGTGTATATATGCACATGTGCATCTCTCTAGAAGGCTATGAAAAATCTTTAACTTTTGCCTGTCTCTACAAAGGCAAACTGGTGGCCAGTGGAGGGGAATAGAGGCTTTTTTTTAAATTCTGTAAACTTTATACCATATATATGCATTGCTTTCACAAAATTGGTATTTTTATCATCATTCTGAAAGCTCCTCTTTCACACCTACATTAAATCAACTCATCAGCAAATCCCATCAATTCTATAATGAATTTGGGTCCAGAATATTCCTTTTTTCTTTTCCATCCTTGTCCAAACTATTATTTCCTCTCATGTGGAAGGAGTAATAGTTTTCTAACTAATTCTACTCTTGTCCCCTTACAATCTATTCTCAATATGGCAACCTTCACAAAGATCCTTCACATATTGTCACATAATTTCCCCTTGAGAAAAACTCTTAGAACTTCCCGAATCAAATATTCAAGTCTTGATATTGGCCTACAACGTCCTATAAAATATAGTCCCCATATCAACCAGTAATTTCCCTTGCCCTAGCCTCTTTAGCAAAAACTTAGGGTCATTAGAATCAGTTTCCGCTAGCTGGAATGTTCTTCTCCCAGAAATCTGTACAATTTGTTTCTTCACAGTCTTTGAATAGATCACTGCTCAAACATCACCTCCTCAAGTGAAGCCCTCTTTAACCATCTTCATTTTAAATTGTGTTTCTCCCCACATACATACTAGGTACTTCCTATTCCTAACACTATCCCTGAATTACTTTTTCCAAAGTATTTATCACAAAATGACATTGAGATTTTACTTTCAGTTTTCTGTTCCTCCTCAATATAATCTAATATGATATCAAGCGCTTACTAGTTCCAAAGGCAGTTTTGTTCTGACCATATGCAAAGCCTGAATTAGTGGTAGAGGAGCTAAAGAGTCCTGTCGCACTGCAGGTGGCTGGAGAAGATCCAAACAAGCCAGTCGTGGTACCTGCTCCCACCTGGTTCTGCGGGCCTTTTCTGTTAGCCTGATAATCCTCTAAACGAAGTTCCTGAAGGGAGGGAAATCATAGTTCTAATCTTAATATGTAGTTATTAATAAAACTAATTTAAGTTATTAATAAAACTAATTAATAAAACTAATTTAAGAAACTAAATGCTTGATTTTTGTACTCAAGTTCTATGTTCATATAGGAACTATGGCTAAAAAAAAATACAGAATGACATTAACTTAATATCATTACAGAAAAACATTTCTAATAGATATTAAAATCCATATCATAACTATAATTACTGTAAAGCTACAGGCCAGAGAGCCAACCATAACTTAATTTTCTTTTACAAATACTACTTTCTTTTAGTAAAATGTTACAGAATAATCTTAGCTACCCTACTCATAAATGTAAAAATTATTTGATTACAAGATGGAGAATTTTGTGAAGTCAGAACATTTAGGAAACAAAATAATAAAGTTTAGCAATTTTATCTCAAGTCAAGGTGTTTCTGTAAACGTCAATAAAGCAAGCAGTTTGGTATGTAGAAAAAAGCAACCACTACAATCAGGAATGACAGTCAAAATGCACAACAATCTATTACAGAGCAATAAGAGTGAACAAACTAACTCTATGCAACAAAGATAAACACTCATTGTTGAAAGATATGATATAAGATTCCATCTATATAAGGTTCAAAACTGGGCAAAAATTGGACAGTCAAGAAAAAGTGGTTACCTTTGTAAGGGGAGGACTGTGATTGGGCAGGGCCAGGCACAAGGGGAACATCTGGGATGCTGGTGATGCTGTTTCTTGATTTGAATCCAATCACTCAGTAAAAACTCATTAAGTTGTACACTTATAATTGCATACATTTATTAAAAACACACTCATGTGCACGCGCGTGTGCACACACAGACATACACTGCCCAGTGTAGTAGGAGCAACATCCGATCAGAAAAGATTATTAGAGGAGCTAGACTTATACTTATACCTGAATATTATCCCTGCCTGAAAAAATAGATATCTATAAATAATACATAAATTTTAAAAACAATTTGGTAAATACTAATTTTTTTACATAAGCCCCAAGTGAACCACTTGGATCCTAAAAATAATCAAAACACTTTAAAAAGCTGCTTTCCAATAGAATCAAAAGGTGAAGCTGATATTTGTACTGTATTTTACTGACCTCTAGTGACTTGCTTTCATATTCTTTCATAGCAGTAATACATTGGTGCTTGGTACTGATGTTAGTGCTAACTCCAGCTTTGACCATAGTATCTGTACCAGTTGGAGGCTGCAAAGGAAAATAAAGACAAATTATTAAGTCCAAGCTTTATAGTCCTACTCTCATAGACACGATTCCTCAACCTTGAACTCTAAAACTAGTCCCCCAGGTCTTTAATTTTATGTATGTATGTATGTATTTTTATTTTGAGTCAGAGTATCACTGTCAACCCAGGCTGGAGTGCAGTGGCACACTGAGGCAATCCTTTTGCCTTAGCCTTCCAAGTAGCTGCTGGAACTACAGGTGCGTACCATCATGCCTGGTTTTGTTTTTTTTTTAATTTGTCATAGAGACAAGGTCTTGCCAAGTTGCCCAGGCTAGTCTCAAACCCTGGGCTCAGGCAATCCTCTCACTTCTGCCTCCCAAAGTGCTGGGATGATTACAGGCTTAAGTCACCATGCCCAGTGGTGGCCCAGGTCTTTTATAATGAGATAGTTTCAAGGGTACTTGATTAAATATACTGTATTTCTGCTCTCTTCCTGTGTCAAGTTTATCTGAATAAATAGACTTCAGTCAGAAATTAATCACAAACCTCGGAATTAATCTCATACCCAAGCCATCGAATCAAATGCTAAAATACATGTGATATTATAAGCATAAGGAAAACTCTACACAATTTACCCAATAAATACATTTAAACCTCTATATTTAACTCCTCCTTTCTATTCTGCCCTGAAGTGCAGTGGCATGCTCCCGGTCACCGCAACCTCGACCTGCTGGGCTCTGGCGATCCTTCTGCCTCAGCCTTCCGAGTAGCCAGAACAATAGGCGCGCGTTACCATGCCCAGCTAATTTTTGATTTATTGTAGAGACCAGGTCTCGCCAAGTTGGGTCTCGAACCCACGGGCTCAGACAATCCCATTGCCTCGGCCTCCCAAAGTGCTGGGATTACAGGCTGAGCCACCGAGCCCAGTCATGTGTGTGTTTTGAGTCAAAGTCTCAGTCACCCATGCTGGAGTGCCGCCTCAAGCTCCTGGGTTCAAGTGATCCTTCCACCTCAGCCTCCAGAGTAGCTGAGACTATAGGCTAATTTTTTTCATTTTTTGTAGAGATGGAGTCTTGCTACGTTGCCCAGGCTAGTCTCAAACTCCTGGACTCAAGTGATTCTCCCACCATGGCCTCTCAAAGTACTGGGATTACAGGTGTAAGCCACCATGTCCAACCTATAATCAACGTTGTGAACGCAAATTTAGTTGGAATAAGCATAATTCAAATATAATCGTAGTCTAGATTTATGTTTCACAACTTTTCCTGTCTACCACCCACTATTTACAGATTTTGTTTTGAACGTTTTTCAGGAGTCAAACTAAGCTGGAAAGAGAAACAATTTTACAATTCATCCTGCCAAGAAATATACAAATGGGAAAGAAACATTCCACAAAGATTGGAAGAAAATACATACATTAAATTTAATAGTAGTCCCAGTAGGAGCAGCTGTAAAACTGCTTGGCCCAAAGAGGGAGCCAGATGTGCTGCCAAAAGGATTAGACGTGGTATTTGTAGTTCCAAAGAGTCCTCCACTGCTAGTACTCGTTCCAAAATCTACAAATTAGAAAGAAAAACGAGATAACAGTAAGAAATTTAAGAATCTATAAGATACCCTAGAATTGACCTGTAGCACTAAAGAAACAGTACTTTCAAATCCACATTTTTTAAATATTTCAGATCTCCTGAGCAAATACATTCAAATAGATAATGCACAAGGAAACATAACAAATGTACAGGCTCACAACTTTCAAGTGAAACAAAATCTGATGACTGGGCACTGTGGCTCACACCTTAATCCCAGCATTTTAAGAGATGGAGGCAATACAACTGTTTGACTCCAAAGGTACGAAACCACCCTGGGCAATGTGGCAAGACCTTGTCTCTACAATAAATCAAAAAAATAGCTGGGTGTGGTAGTGCGCACCTGTAGGTTCAGCTACTTGGAAGGTTGAGGCCTGAGCCCAGCAAGTTGAGGCTGTGGTAGCAGTGGCACTGTTAGTCATTTTATAGAAGCAAGTAATAAAATAAAAAATCCTCTGGTTATTTTCCAAAACCTTCAGTTAAAAAAAAAAAATACAGCCGGGCTCAGTGGCTCAATCTGTAATCCCAGCACTTTGGGAGGCAGAGACGAATGGATTGTCTGAACCCTTGGGTTTGAGACCTGCCCAGGCAACTTGGCAAGACCTCATCTCTACAATAAATAGAAAATTAGCCGGGCATGGTAGCATGCCTCTATAGTTCTGGCTATGTGGAAGGCTGAGGCAGAAGGATTGTAGTAAGTCAAAAGGCTGATGCTGGGGTGGCCGTGAGCATGTCACTGCACTCCAGCCTGGGCGACGGAGTGAGACTCCAACTCAAAAAAAACCAAACAAACCAGAAGTGTCAATTAACTAATAAAAATGAGCCCGACTCGGTTGCTCAGTCTGCAATCCCGCACTTTGGGAGGCTGAAGTGAGTGGATTGCCTGAGCCCGTGGGTTCGAGACCTACCTGGGCAACTTGGCGAGACCTCATCTCTACAATAAATCAAAAAAAAAAAAATTAGCCAGGCGTGGTAGTACACGCCTGTAGCTCCAGCTACTTGCAAGACTGAGGCGGAAGGATCGCTGGAGCCCAGCAGGCCGAGGCTAAAGTGGCCAGTAGCGGCCACTGCACTCCAGTCTGGGCAACAGAGTGAGACTTCAACTAAAAAAATAAATAAATAAAATAATAATAATAATAATAATAACGTATCTTCCAATATTTAATATCAAGTGACATCTAAATTACCAAGAGGACTGTGATTTCTCACTAGCAAAATGCTATTATTTCTAAAACATATCCTAATGTATAGTTTAAAGTAAATAAATTTTTCTGAGCCGAAGTGTCTCTCTGTCACCTAGGCTGGAGTGCAGTGGCACAGTTGCAGCTACAGCAACGGAGGCCTCAGTCGATCCTTTCATCTCAGCCTCCCGAGTAGCTAGGACTGCAGGTGCATGCCATTAGGCCCAGCTAAATTTTCTTTTGGTAGAGGTGAGATCTCAATATGCTGCCCAGGCTGGTCTTGAACTCCTGGGATCTAGCAATCACCTCACTTCGGCCTCCCAAAGTGCTAGGATTACCAGTGTGAGTCATAGCATCCTGCTGGAACATCTGTTTTAAATTCGTACTTTAGACTGCATTTTATTTTATCTATTTATTTTTGAGTTGGTGTCTCACTCTGTTGCCCAGGTTGGAGTGCAGTGGCATGCTCACAGCCACCACAGCCTCGACCTGCAGGGCTCAGGTAATCTTTCTGCCTCAACCTTCCAAGTAGCTGGAACAGGCATGTGCCACCAAGCCTAGATAATTTTTTGATTTATTGTAGAGACAAGGTCTCATCAAGTTGCCCAGGCTGGTCTCGAACCCCTGGGCTCAGGTAATCCTGTCACCTCGGCCTCCCAAAGTGCTGAGAATACAGGCTTGAGCCACCAAGCCTGGTGACTGCATTTTTTTTTTTTTTTTTTTGATTTGGAGTCTCACTCTGCCCCCCAGACTGGAGT